CAAGGCAAGCACTCTACCACTGAGCCACAACCCCAGTCCGAATTCTGTATTTTTTGTTTGTTTTAATACGTTTACTTTATTTATTTATATGTGTTGCTGAGGATCAAACCCAGGGCCTCACGCGTGCTAGGCGAGTGCTGTACCACTGAGCCACAACCCTAGCCCCTACCTTTGTACTCTTTTATGCCAAGAATTTTACTTAATATAAGTACAACAACAAGGTAAATAACTATATGAGAGCAAGAAGGGGATAATACTTAGAGAATTAACTTTGTTGGGATTTGGGGGAAACAATTTTCTGGTTCCATTGCTTTCTGAACTGTTTTTAAATGAAGATTTACTAGGTTTTATACTCAGTTCTAGGAAAAGGGAAAATCCGTAAGTATTGGCATAGAAGTCTGAAATCACTTGCTATACTTGGAGAAGTATAGCCAATTGATACTGTTTTTGTAAATTCTGTGATATAAGAAATGTCAGGTTGAAGAGGTATACCAAGGCAAATGCTTATGAGTACATAGTAAAGTTTTTTTTTTTTAATCTTTATTTTTATTTATTTATTTTTTATGTGGTGCTGAGGACCGAACCTAGGGCCTCATGAGTTGGAGGCGAGCGCTCTACCTCTGAACTACAACCCCAGCCCCATAGTAAATGATTTTAAGCAGGGGTATATATAATCTGGTTTGTAATTTAGGACCCTACCTTGGCTGCAATATAAACGAGGGAGATTCGACACTTGTTATATTCATTTTCCCTTTTTTATTTTAAAAAACAAGTTGTAATGTTGCTCTTTTATTGGGGGGAAAACCCTCAGTTGATACATGTATTTTATTTATATATATATATATCTTCCTAAAAGTGATTACATATATATTACATAAAGTTTCCCATTTTAAACTAAAACTACCATTTTTGAGTAAACAGTTCAGTGGAATTAAGTGTATTCACATTTCGATATTGTTTGAATATGAAGTGTTTGGCAAAAACTCCTGTGTTGCCAGGACTGGTGGTGCACAACTGTAATACCAGTAACCCAGGAGGCTGAGGCCGGAGGATTGTGAGTTCAAAGCCAGCCTTAGCAACTCAGAGAGATCCTAAAGTGCTGGGGACATGGCTCAGTGGTTCAGCACCCCCAGATTCAATCCTTAGTACAAACAAAACCCTCCTGTGTTGAAGGCTTGTTCCACAATTTAGCAGTGTTAAAAGGTCAAGCTTTTTAAGAAATGATTGGATCATGAGGTCTCTAGACTCATCAGTGGATCCATGATCTGATGAATTACTCATTTGAATGAACTATTTGGAGGTGATGGAAACTGTAGGAGATGAGACCTAATTGGAGGAAGCAAATCACTGGGGGCCTTTTTTGTTTGTTTGTTTTAACTTTATTTTGAGATAGGGATCTCACTAAGTTGCTGCCCTGTAAGAATGTCACTTGAGCTCTGCCCCTCCTTCCCTCTGTCTTTAGCTGCTGTGAGCTGAGCAGCTTTCCTCTGCCATGCCCTTCTGCTATGATGTTTGATCTCATCTAAGGCCCAAAGTAATGAGCCAGATGTTCATGGACTGAAACCTCTGTAACTGTGGGTCAAAGTAAATCTCCTTTAATTTGTTAATAACTATCCTTTAACTTATTCATGTTGAGTATTTTGGTCACAGTAATGAAAAGCTAACACAACATTTTTTTGCAGCCATCACCGAACACTATGTTTCCCCAATGTTTTTTCATACTGAAACTCCTGTACCCATTAAACAATAACTCACCATTTTTTACTCTTTCCAGTTCCTGACAAGCAACATTTCACTTTCTATATGAATTTGACTATTCTGTGTTTCTCATATAAGTAGAATCATGCAGTACTTGTCTTTTTGACTACATATTTCACTTAGCATAATGTCTTGAAGATGTTGTAGCATCTATCAGAATGTTTTTCCTTTTTAAGAATTAATAATATTCCTCTGTGTGTGCATCACCTTTTGTTTATCCATTCATCTGTTAATGGACACTTCGATTTTTTTTCTTCCTTTTGACTATTTTGAATGATGCTACTCTGAGTTTGGGTGTACCAGTATCTCTTTCAGTCCCTGCTTTCAATTATTTGGGTGTATACCTAGAAGTATAATTGCTGATTCACATGGTCATTTTTAATTTTTTTAGGAACTGCCATATTGTTTCCATAGTGGCTGCAACATTTGACATTCCCTCCTACAGCTTACAAGATTTCATTTTCTCCACATCCTCCCCTAACACTTCATTATTTTATGGATACACACACATTATCCTACAGGGTGTGAGTGATATGGTATGTGCATGTGTGTTTGTAGTACTGGAGATTGAAACTGGGTGCTATACCATTGAGCTACATCCTTAGCCCTCCATTCCCTTCCTTTTTAACTTTATTTTGAGACAGTTTTTATGAGTTGCTGAGGCTGGCCTTGAACTTGCAATCTTCCTTGCTCTGCCTCCTGAGTAGCTGAAATTACAGGTGTGTGCCTTTGTGCCCAGCTATCTCATGTCATTTTAATTTGCATTTCCTTAGTAGTTAGTGATCGTCAATCTTTTCTTTACTTATTGGTCATTTGATCTTCTTTGGAGAAATGTCTATTTAATCCTATTCTCATTTTTAAATTGGATTTCTTTTTTTGTTGTAGGAATTCTTTATATATCTTGAGTGTTGTCAGAAATAGGGTTTGCAAAATGTTATATCCCATTCTTTGGGTTGCTTTTTCACTCTGTTGATTGTGTCCTTTGATGCCCAAAATTTTGAGGTAGTCCAGTTTATTTTTTATTTGTTTGTTAAAGCAGGACTAATTGCTTATTCAGCACACTTATACATAATACTTAGTAATGGCAAAATCTTATTAGCATAGGAAATGGTTAACCTTTTTATTCTCACAGGCAGAAAGACAAATTTCTTATTCATTAAGATCTAGTTTTAAAATGGATTAACAAAGGAAAACAAAATGTTTTATTGTTTTATGCTACCTAGATAAACTTTTATAATGAGACAATAGTAACAATAACCATGACTCAGTGCTACTGTGGTAGAACAAGTTTTGTAAGAACTTGATAAGTAGGAATCTGTCAGGAAGACTTATTTATTCCATTTCTCAGAAGACACTTAAGCAAGATCTTCTTTGACCATTTTTGCACTATCCCAACTTGCATGATGGTTCAGACTCGCCCTTCCCCTTTTCTATTTTTATTTGTAACATTTTTGTATGACTAGACATCATAATATTTGTTTATTTTTTTATAGTCTTCACTGCTATCTTTCCAGTGCTTAGAATAGTACCCTATGAATATTTGATATAGAATAACCTCTAAGTTTTCTGGCTATAAAACCTTCCAGAACAAGGATGAGGAGGAAAGGGTACATTGTTGGTAGAATTACAAATTAATACAACTGCTTTGGAAAGATTTGAGATTCCTCAAAAGACTAGGAATGGAACTTCCACGTAACCCAGCTGTCCCACTCCTTGGTATTTATTTTAATCAGCTGTTTCACCACTGTGACCAAAAGACCTGACAAGAACAATTTTAGGGGAGGAAAATCTTATTTGGGGCTCACAATTTCAGAGGTCTCTGTCCATAGACAGCTGGCTCCATTCTGCAGAGCTGGAGGTGAAGCAGAACATCATGGCAGAAGGGTGTTACAGAGGAAAATCACATCAGAATGCAGAGAGAACTCGGCTCATCAGCCCCGAAATATATAACCCCTGTGACCCACCTTCTTCAGCCACAGCTACCTGTCTACAGTCACTACCAGTTAATCTCTTTTAGGGGATCATTTTGCTGATTTGGTTAAAACTCTCAAAGGGCTGGGGATATGACTCAAGCTGTAGCGTGCTTGCCTGGCATGCACGGGGCGCTGGGTTCAATCCTCAGCACCACATAAAAAAAACTCTCAAAGCCCAATCACTTTACCCTTAAACTTTCTTCCATTGTCCCACAACGAGCTTTTGGGAGATACCTAAACCATAACAGTATTTATCCAAAAGAACTAAAATCTGCATACTATAATTATACATGCATACCAGTGTTTATAGCAGTGCGGTTCACAATAGCCATGTTAAGAAACCAATCTTCAACAGATTGGATAAAGAAAATGTGGTGTATATATACACAATGGAGTTTTACTCAGCCATAAGAAGAATGAAATTATGTCATTTTCTGGTAAATGAATGGAACTGAAGAAGCTAAGTGAACTAGTCTAGTCTCAAAAAGTTAAATATTTGCTCTCCCATGGAATATAGAGAAAGGGAAAAAGGGGAATTAAAAAAAAAGGGATCTCCTCAAAATAAAAAGGAGAACAACAGAGTAAGAGGAAGGGGATCAAGAAGAAGGGAGGAGCAGAGGCATGGACAATGAAATCTACCAAATTATGCATGTGTCTATGTATGAACATACTACAATGAATTTCACTTATATATATTTATAATGTATTAAAATAATAATACAAGGGGGATCAGTAGAGTTGAATAAGTGGATCAGAAGTAGGGAAGAGAGGAGGAAAAGGGATGGTACTGGTAAACGAGATTCGTCAAATTATGTGTGTGTATGAATATGGCATAATGAATCCCACTATTATTTATAATATGCCAATAAAAATAAATTTTGTTTTTAAGATTACAAGTTTAAAAAAAACCCAAATTCTCCAGAAGTATATGCTGATTCCCAGGGTGAAATGTGCTTTTGTAACATCATTATACTCTCGACTTCTGTTGTCACCTTCTGTTTTACTATTTATCATTTATACATGTTATGAAGTAGATTACATGTTTTGAGTTTTGTTGTGTGCAAGGTATTCTTCCAAGACATGAATGGGTATTGAAACATTAACATTTTAGGTTTGGCTTTTTTCGGGGCGAGGGTTGTATACCAACAGTTTTAATAAAAGAGAAAATTATTTTCATTTAAAAAGGGGATTCATGAGCCAGATTGTATTTATAAAGGTACATTAGTTTAATATTTTCCTTAGACTTAACTAATATGAACTTGTTTCCAGATATTTTCTAAATTTGGAACAGTCTTGAAGATTATCACCTTTACAAAGAATAATCAATTTCAAGCCTTGCTTCAGTATGCTGACCCAGTGAATGCACATTATGCCAAAACGGTAATTATGATTATTTTTCATTTTTCAATAATTAATCACTTTCTAAAGGAAACCATCATGTGTTCTCTCTTCTAGTTTACTGTGTGTGATTTTTAAAATAGTGATAAAATATATAAAATAATATCTACCATTTTAATTTTTTTAACCATATAATCGCATGTGTTCCCTCCCCTAGTTAAAAATTATTATTTTCCTCATAGAAATGGTTTCAAATCTCTAGTTTGCCCCTCAGGACTCTTGAGACTCTTTGCTGTTTGTTATGTTTAGAATTTGAGCACAGTACTCCTGATGTAATCTAAGAGAATAGGTTTTTGCCCTTTGTACGGTCCTATTAAATCAGCTAAAATTGATTTCACTACTTTTGAAAAATTTTCAGCATTCATTTCTGTTGAGCTCTAAATTGGTGAAAACATTGTCTCAAGAATTATGCTGTTGTCAATTCATGCTTTTTTAAAGTACACAGATACTTAACTTGATAGTATAACAAATTTCACATTAATTTGCTTATATTACATACGTCTGTTGAGATCTATCTCCAATGCTATTCTGTCTTCTGTTCCTGAATCATTTCTAATTTCTGCTCGAATTAGAGACTAGAGACTAAGGCTTATAGTTCTTTTGTATATCATGCACTGTCTAGCCCTCAATTAGGAAGATAGCCTTCTTGCATATATTATTTTGTATCATTTTAATAGCACAATGACTTTTGTTAATTACTTTTATTGTAAATCAGAGCTTTTAATGTATTTGTTTCATTTGTATGTGCTTTTGGTTTCTGGTATCTGTTTTTATAAATTCAAGTTATAGAAATCACAAAAATCACAAGCAGTGACAGTTATTCTGTTGGTAAGATTTTATTCTTGCAAAGGGAGGGATTACTGATTTTTGATAACAATTGACTCCAAATTTTCCTCAGCTCATTGTTAAAGTATTACAGGATAAATTCACAAAAGAATAAGTGGTAGATAATATTCTGTGTATTATGTTTCTGATAAATACAAATTACAAAGGCTTTGTTTCATCTTAATCTATATAAATTATAGTAAAATAATTAAGGTGAAATGTGAAATAGGAATATCTCTAAACACTCATTTATGTTTATCATGTTTAGAGTTTGTTGTAGGCAGAGTTGACGTAGTAGCAGCTTAGTATTTCTATATTAATGTACAGTAGTTTCCCAAGCCTTTATATTTCTTCTCTTTTGTTAGCTCCTACCATAGATAAGATGGATGTTATTTTCTTTTTTTTTTTTTTTTTTTTTTAAGAGAGAGAGAGAGAGAATTTTTTAATATTTATTTTTTAGTTTTCGGCGGACACAACATCTTTGTTTGTATGTGGTGCTGAGGATTGAACCCGGGCCGCACGCATGCCAGGCGATCGCGCTACCGCTTGAGCCACATCCCCAGCCCCGGATGTTACTTTCTTTATACAAATATATATTGAGGCTCAGCATCTTTTTTTCTCCCTTAGATTCATAGTGACAGGGATGAAAGTAAACCTAGTTCTTCCATTGCTCTCTGCTTTATACCTGATTACCACTCTTTGTCACAGTAGAGGTTATTTGATTCATCAGTGGTATTGTCTTGCAAAAACATCAGTCCCTTTCTCACGTGCTTTAGGCTCTGGATGGCCAGAATATATATAATGCATGCTGCACTCTGCGTATTGACTTCTCCAAGCTCACCAGCCTTAATGTGAAATATAATAATGACAAAAGCAGAGACTTCACTCGCTTAGATCTTCCTACTGGTGATGGCCAGCCATCTCTTGAACCCCCTATGGCTGCTGCTTTTGGTGAGTAGTTCCTTTTTGGGCCACATAGCAAGTTTTCTGAAGTTTCATTTATTAATCTGTTAAGTTAGCCTTCTTTTTTTTTTTTCAGAATTTCTAAAGGAAAGCAAGAATCTTGGAACAAATGTGACCATTCATTAAATCTATTTTTTAAAAAATATTTAATTTTTAGTTGTAGTTGGACACAATACCTGTATCTGTCTATTTATTTAAGCTTTAGGTGGACACAATATCTTTATTTATATTTTTATGCAGTGCTGAGGATCGAACCCAGTGCCTCATGCCTGTTGAGCCATATCCCCAGCTCCTTATTTATTTATTTTTATGTGGTACTGAGGAAAGAACCCAGGGCCTTGCATGTTCTAGGCAAGCACTATACTGCTGGCCACAATCCCAGTCCTTCATATTTTATTTTTTTAGATGTATGGACCTTTATTTTATTAATTTATTTATATGTGGTACCGAGATTCAAACCCAGGGCCTCACACATGCTAGGCAAGCGCTCTACCACTGAGCCACAGCCTAAGCCCCTCATTAACTCTTTAATATTAGAAAGTTCTGTTATTTGTCAAAACAAGTAGATGTCTCAAATTGAATTACAAATTTATTTTCTAACATTGGTATTACTCATAAGTTACACAACTATTTGCTTCTAATTGATTCTTAAAAATTAAATTGATTTATAGTCAGCACAATTTTGCCATAAGTGCTCTTGAAAATTATTTTTTCTTTTTAAATAGTGATACTTTAAATCAGTGGCCTTAACTAATCATATGTTTTTCCTGTATTCAAAGAAGAGAATTTATCTTGTTTTTTTAAACATTAGAACTTACATCTTGGGCTGGAGTTGGGCTCAGAGGTAAAGCACTCGCCTAGTATGTGTGAGGCACTGGGTTCTATCCTCAGCACCACATACAAATAAATAAAGGTATTGTGTTTTGTTTTTTTAAAAAACTTCTATCTTTAAGTTTATGTGGTATTGGATTTTTCATTAATAAAAATACAAGCAATATCACTAATTGAGACCTTAAGTAGTATTTAATCCATCTTCTTTTGTAGGTGAGAAAATTAAAGAATTAAAGAACAACCAATTAGTTGCCTATAGTTTTCTAGAAAACATTCTATAACTTAAGTATAAACTTTGTTTTTGATATGTATGTGCCTGATTTGGCAGAACCAAAGGTCTTTGTCATTACCATTTTAATAACAAATGATTGTAGTTAGGGCAAATTCATGTTTGCCAAAACTGGGCTATCAAATGCAGGACCATGTTTATTCTAATAATTAAATATATACTTATGGTGTAATTAATGTTCTGTATTGTGGGAGTAGGACATTTGGAAAATATGGTTAAGAGTTTTGCTTTCTGAATATAAAGTAACACTATTCACATTCTTTTTCATTGTTATTAATAAATCTTTAGTCGTTGCAAAATAATATTTCCATCTTGAGTGATTCATCAGAGAAAAATATGTTTTACATATTGTGTAAAAGTTTCTCTTCTTTGCCTATCACTAATTTTTGACACAGTTCACTATTCCCTCCTTTCTTAGCTTCTGCAATACCACATTCTCCCTACTTTATGCCTTCCTCACTGGCTGTTCTCTTTTAAAGGTTGCAGCACAACTTTTTGACTCAATACAGTCAAAAGTCTCTAGGTCCGAGTCAGAAGCGTTCTGTCCCTGTTTTTAGTGACATATACCTATAAAATAACTTATAAAACAAGTAAATGTATTTTACTATATTTTCATTTTCTGAAAGCACTTTTTAAAATTTATTTATTTTAATTAGGTATATATGACAGCAGAATGCATTTTGATTCATTGTACACAATTGCAGCACAAATTTTCATTTCTCTAGTTGTACACGATATAGCATCACATCACATGTGCAGTCATACATGTACCTAGGGTAATGATGTCCATCTCATGCCACCATTTTTCCTGCCCCCATGCACCCTCAAGTAAATGTATTTTAAAATACCCATGCTGTGACTACCAGGTTAAGAAATAAAACATAGGAGCTGGGACTGGGGTTCAGTGGCAGAGTGCTTGCCTAGCGCATGAGAGGCACTGGGTTCAGTCCTTAGCACCGCGTAAAAGCAAACAAATAGAATGGAGGCATTCTGTCCATCTACAACTGTAGAAAGTTAAAAACAAAAAAGAAAGAAAGAAAACATGTATGTATACTGACGATCATTCCTGCACCCTTCTTCATGTATTATTTTCCTACTCTGCCTGCCTCAAGATAACCACAACCCCCAATATAATGACTGTTCTTTTTCTTTTCTGTTTTTCTTTTTAGTACTTTTATTATGTAGCCCTAAATGCTACTTTAATTTTTTATCTTAATATTTATTTATTTATTTATTTATTTATATGTGGTGCTGAGGATCAAACCCAATGCCTTGCACGTACGAGGCAAGCGCTCTACCGCTGAACTATAACCCTGGCCCCTAATTTTTTTAACCTATATTTAGAATTTTACATAAGTGGAATCATGCTGTTTTTCTTTTGTGACTTATTTCTTTCACATTAGGCATTTGTGATTCATCCATATTCATACATGGAACTATGGCTCATTCATTCTCAGTATAGTCAAATGTATATTGTCCCGCTGGATAAATGTACCAGAGTTTGTTAATCCACTTTATTACTGATAGATACTTGCGTTATTTTTAATTTGAGTTTATTGTGAATAATGCTACTATAAACATTCTTGTGTCTTCTGGACAAGAATTTTTTTCTAGAGAACATGCATCTGCAATAAATTATTGAGTCATACAGAGTGTATTTTTTTCAGTTTTACTACATAGCACCATATTTTTTTTTAAAGGATCCTACCCTATATACCTGCATTATGGGGTGTTTTAATTTTTACTATTCTGGTGTGTGTAAAATAATACCTATCGTTGTAGTTTCATTTGCATTTTCCTGCTTCCAGGGAAGTTGAACTATTTTTGTTTATTTGCCATCCTCTCTTTTAATTTTGATTCTTTTGTCTGTTTTTGTGTTTGGTTTCTTATTTTAGTTTTTTCTTATTTATTGGTAGGAATTCTTCATGTATTCCAGATACCTGTCATTTGTAGATTATATATTATAGTTTCTCTGGGTTTAGGCTTACTGATTTATGCAGTTAGGTTTGTATATTATTTCCTTTATTGTTGTTCTTTTTTGGCTCTTTAACATTTATTTTTTTAGTTATAGGTTGGCACAATATCTTAATTTTATTATTTTGTTTTTATGTAGCTCTGGGGATCGAACCCAGTGCCTCACGAATGCTAGGAGAGCGCTCTACCACCGAGTCCCAGCCCCAACCCCTTTTTGGGGTCTTATTTAAGAAATTTTTTGTTATTCTGAGGCTATAAATATACATACTTATGTTCTAAAATATTTAGTATCTTAGTAACTTTGTGTTGAATTAACTTAAGCTGCAAGAATAGCACTAAGAACTCCTTCATTCAGATTCCACAATTGTTAGCATCATACCACATTTACTTTATCATCTCTCTGATTTATTTGTTTTTATTTATTTTCCCTATCCAAACCATTTGAAAGTAAGTTGCAGGCATGATGCTCTTTTCTTCTAAATACCTATTGTTTGCTTGCTTATTTATTTATTTTTTATATATTTATTTTACTTTTTCTAATTTGTTACAGGACAGCAGAATGTATTTTCATTGCATATTTATTAAGAACAAAAACATTCGTTTCTCCTTTTGGTGGTGCTGGGGATTGAACTGAGTAGTGCTCTACCACTGAGCTACATCTCCATAATATACTTTATTATTTTGAGACAGTGTCTCCCAAAATTGACCCAAATTGGCCTCAAACTTATAATCTTCCTGTTTCAGCCTCCTGAGTCACTGGGATTACGGGCATGTGTCACCATTTCTGACTCAAAAACATTCTTACCTAAATACCGGTTATCGGGGCTGGGGTTATGTTTCAGCGATAAAGCACTTGGCTAACATGTGCAAGGCCCTGAGTTTGATCCTTGGCACCACATAAAAATAAATAAAATTACAACTAAAAAATAAATATTGAAAAAAAATACCAGTTATAAAAATGAGGAAATTAATATCTATACAGTAGTATTATCTACTACATAGTCCTTTGTAAAATTAACACTGTGTCCATATTTATGGAGTACAATGTGAAAATCCAATACACTTATGTGTAATAATCAAATCAGAATAATTAGCATTTCTTTGAGTTGAGCAAAAATTTTAATGTAGTTATGTTATTTTTATAGTGCATACTCTTAATACTAAATGGTCTTATATTTTGTCTAGTAACTCATAATTTATTTAATCATTCTCCAGTTGGAATATTAAACTAGTTTCTTTAGAATTTTGCTATTATAAATTATATGATAAACTGATTTCATAGGTGAAGTGTAATCCTCTTTTAATTTAAATTGCCTTGATTGCTGTCATGGTGATACATTTCCAAATGTAAAATATCTATTTCTAATAGTCATTCAAATTGTAAACCATTTTTTAAAGGTTTGCATTATCTTCTCATAAAATAATATTATTGTTTAACAGGTTACTTTTCTAAAATGTTTCTGGTTTTGCTCATTTGAGGAGTATAAATTCATAAAAACTTTTTATAAATCATCCTTTTGTCAAAATTAAACAAATATTCCTATTAATCATGTTATGCTGGGAAATGATTCAAAATTTAGTTTAGATATTTGCTTGCCAGTTTTTTTTTTAATTGATGTGTATTAAATGTTCTGTGATCGTTATGTCAAATTTTTTCCTTATTTCTCTAATACTTAATGGCTAGCATTCTGCTTCACTCCCCATAGACATCTGTATTAGCCACTTGGCTGTGCTTGAAGACTGGCCCTCATCAGCACTTTATGGCAATTAACATTTTTCTCAAGTGCCTCAGCAGCAGCTGTGAATCAGCTTTCACAGCACTCCTCCCTCTTGTGATATAGGGCCTTGCGGAAGGTGTTTTGATGTTCTTGTGGCAGAGCGTAAAGAATAAGAGAGCTAGTGTAACTTTAAATGCCTTTTAAAGCTTCTGTGGCACATGTCATTTCTGCCTTTATTTTTTGCAGAAACATATGACATAATTACAAAGTGAATTACAAAGAAATGCATGCTTTTCCTTTTTTCTTTTCTGGTTGTGGTTATTGAACCCAGGGTGTGAATTACAAAGAAATGCATGCTTTTCCTTTTTTCTTTTCTGGTTGTGGTTATTGAACCCAGGGTTTCACACGTGCTAAGCAAACACTGTTCTACTGAACTATATCTCCAGCCCTTTTTAAAATTTTACTTTTTGAGCCAGGGTCTAAGTTGCCCAGGCTGCCCTTAAACTTTTGAACTTTCTGCCTCAGTCTCCCCAGTCAATGGGATTATGGAGATGGGTCTGCAGGCTTTATTTTGAAGACTTATTAAATCTTCCTTTAATGTACAAATATATTAATGAATGAATGAATGAATCATTTTTATTGATGATCTTGAGCCTGCTTGTGTCTAAGTTTAGCAAGGACAGAGATTCATATCTGCTTTGTTCAGTGATTCCTCAGCAGTATGTATGTATGTATGTATAAATCAATCAATCAATCAATCATGTTTGTTGGGTGTATTTCAGTCTCCTGTATTTTATCAGTTATTTCGTCAGTCTGTTTTTTGTACTTTATCTCTGCTGGTTCTGTCCTTGCAGATCTACATTTTCTTGAATGATGCTAAATTACATCTACATATTTAAGTTAAACAGTTCTCTAGTAAAGAGAGTGAAATTATATGAGCTTTTAACTCCTCTGGAAAATATAGCCTGAATATTTATGCTTATAAATATGTTCGTCTTCTTGTCATTAAACAATCCAAAACTCTCCCTTTGACTTTTTGCAATGTATATTTTCTAAAACAATTACACCTTTTTTTACTTACTCTGTGTGAATTTTATTGTAGATCCTCCTTTCCCCTTTTAAAACTAGATCCTGAGGTACTGTATAATTCACTACCTTTTTCCCCCCTATTTCTTGGGCTCTTCTCTTTTTCTTTTCTGTAGAATATTCCTCTTCCTTCTGCTGAAGTGTACTAATACTCTCAGGCTGTGTTTTGGGCTCTCTTCTGTTTTTCTCTTTGGCTTTTTTTAGTGGAGCTCTGATTTGTACGGTGTTCACATCTATTTCAACACAGATGATTACAAATCTGTGTGTTTGCTTGTGATAATTACTCTGAGTTTTCCCCTTGTGAGCATTTCCATTTAAATATCTTATTACCACATCAAATTTTACATATTCCAAACCACATTCACTATTTTTCTGCAAGAGCTGACTTATTCATTGGAATTATCTCCGGTTTTTTGTTGATGATACACAGTCACTGGACTTCTTAGAGGAAAGAGAAGATCAGTATTTATTTTATCATCCGGTACACACCAAGCATTATGCTTTTCAGTTACTCTAACTGATCGTCGTGAATCCCTTGTGACTCCTTAGTCCACTTGCGGTACATTCCATTTACACCACTATATGACCCTCATCATATTAATTTCCTGTAATTCATACTTACATTTTGTAAGCCTCTCAGACAAGGATTTAATCTCATACCTCTTTATGTCATCACAATGCACCACAGATAAGAGTACATTTTAATGAGTATTTGATGACTATTCATACAGAAAAAAAAATGCTCTAAATAAGGACCAGAAATCTCAGCCTAGTCAAGACTTAATGAACAGCTAAACTATACACTTGATCATTGAACCCAGCTGAAAGTGGTTAGGCCACCCAAAATGGCAGAGGCTCTTATACCTTAAAGATCACCTGTTGAACAAATATTTATTCTGTAATATTTTTCTTTTTCTGTAATAAACTCTAATGTACTCATTTTATGTTGCTTTGGTTAGCATATTCATAGAAGGTAATATATTTATTTTAGCTTCTCTTTCTTCCTCACTAGGTGCACCAGGTATAATCTCTTCACCATATGCAGGGGCTGCTGGATTTGCCCCAGCCATTGGATTTCCTCAAGCTACAGGTGAATCTTTTAAAGTTGATTTTGAAATAATTTTCAAATGATTTTCCAGGAACTTAGCAAGATGAAAAATGAAAATTTTGAAGAATGTAGAATAAAAGCATTGGGCATCTGGGCGTGACAGCACCTGCCCCATAATCCCGGTGGCTTAGGAGGCGGTGGCAAGAGGATGGCAAATTCACAGTCAATCTTAGCAGTTTAGTGAGGCCCTAAGCAATTTAGCCAGACCCTGTTTCTAAATAAAATATAAAAAGGGGCTGGGGATGTGGTTAAGTGCTTAAGCACCCCTGGGTTCAATCCTCGGAACCAGGGGGGAAAAAAAAAAGCATTAGGCATATCAAGCACAGAAGTGACTGTATGGTACACAGCTTCCTCCTATTTATAAGTAATTTTCTCTGGCTTCAATTTGAATTTCACTCATTCCATTATATGTTCTGCATCACTTATACTTTCCATTTGCACAGGCAACTATAGGTTGGCTACATTAAATGATTTTTAATCAAATTATTACATAAAATGTATGAGCTGCTTAGGTCATTAACAATAGGCTTATTGATTATGTGTTGAATAGACCTGAACTTTGTGTTTTCAGTTCCTTTGAAGGCACTGAATACACAGTATACACTCAGTAAATATTTTATTTAATAAATATTTACTCTTCAATTTGAGAAATCTCTTTTTACTGATGCACTTAGTGTTTTGTTTTGTTTTTTTCTTTCTGCTTTTTATTTTTTTCGCAGGGCTAGGGATTGAATCCAGGGCCTTGCATGTGCTAGGCAAGTGCTCTCTACCTCTGAACTAAATCCTCAGCCCTCGTTGAGGGACTTGGAGGATTACCATGGAAGGTTATGCATGTTATTTATTTCAAAGGATTTTTTTTTCTCTTTCGTTAATGGAAATAATTAAGAAATGGAAGTTGATTAGTACTTTGATAATGACTCCCATTCTTTTATAAATGGTAAACAAAATGAATTTGATCACAACTTAAGGAAAAAATGCTGTATGGTTTTATCTCTGAAAAGAAAACACTGAAGTTGGTAATTTAGGGAAATGGCATGCCATAAAGCCAATTTTATACATCATATTTCCATATTCCAGCTAATTCATGAATGTAGCTATATTTTAAATTTATACCCTAATATTCTAAATCTGGGATTTTGAACTATTGTCTCTCTAATGGAGAGGATAGAGTTAACCAAAAAAAAAAAGGAGTGATATGAAGTTGAGTTTTAAGTTTATCTAAGTGACTGTTCTACATAATTTGTTGAAAACATAGTTTTTATTTATTTGAAGCTCCCCAAAGCTTAATTAATAAACATTTGGAAGCAGCAATGTGTTTTCCCTCCTTTTAGGTATTTCTTTTAGAGACGCTTTGCATATAAAATGCAGTAGTAGATATTTAGGAAAGATAAAAAGTGGTTAAAGAAAGGGTTTCTGACTTAAGACTTTTACAGTGTGGTATATAATACACACAGTAAGCTGTACTCTTAGCTAATACATAATAGAGACAGTAGCAAACGTTGCAGTAATGAATTGGAGGGAATGGAGAAAGGGTTTTTCTGTGTGGATTTCATGAAAAAGCAATCAACCTGAGAATCTAGTTGCATAGTCAGTATGGATAATGGTAGTAAAGACCTTCTTAGATTCTCAAGAGGAATAGGCTGAATGTGAAATATATTGCAATTTAATTGCACAGTTTTAATAAACTAGTGGTCAGACTGTTATAAAGAATATTGAGCTTAAAGAATCAACAAATTGGGGCTGGGGTTGTGGCTCAGGGGTGGAGCACTTGCCTAGCATGTGTGAGGCACTGGGTTCAATCCTCAGCACCACATAAAATAAAGGTATCGTGTCCAACTACAACTAAAATATATGTTTTTTAAAAATCAGCAAATTGGGCTGGGGTTATAGCTCCATAGTTGAGCATTTGCCTAGCATGCGCAAAGCTCCGGGGTTTGATTCCAGAACCACCAAAAGAAAACAACAACAACAAATTAAAGAATTAGTTCAAATATAATGTCCGTATTACAGTGTTATAAAACATTCAATGATTTCAGAATATCTAGGAGAGTAGAGAGCTCTGAAACAAATTCTACAAAAGAATATTGAATTCTGTAAATCTATTATGTTAATATTTATTTAGAACTTAATAAGGTGACAAAATTTAGACTGGCATATAGAACTACCCAGCACCTCTTTGTGGCTTCTGCTGAAGGACTTTTAAAAAATACTTTCCTGATTTTATGGTAGATGTCAATGTGAAAATTGCATGCTTTTACTAGAAAGATGCTTTTGAATATATTTATTTTGGGATAGCAGGAGTGCTTGTAGTTGCTAGACTGACCCTCTGAGAAATCTAACAACTTTTTTTTGAAGACCAGTGATTTCAGTTACTCTGTCAAGTATGGTAAAGTACTGAGTAAATGGTTTCAACAAATAAGGGACTCAGCTGCCAGACAGACTCTATGGGGCAGAAAACGGGCCTTTGATATATTCTTTATGGGTAGCTTGACACACTTTCTTCCATGTTTGCTTTTGTCTTCATTTATTTATTTCATTTATTTACAGAATTTGCTTCATAAATTTACTTCATTATATACTTTATTATATTAACTGTTTAGTTCTTCAGATAACTATAGAGTATAAAATGCTTTTTGTGTTTTTCAAAGGTCTATCAGTCCCAGCTGTTCCTGGAGCTCTTGGTCCTCTCACCCTCACCTCCTCTGCTGTCACTGGAAGGATGGCCATTCCTGGAGCAAGTGGTATACCAGGAAATTCTGTTCTACTTGTCACCAATCTCAATCCTGATGTGAGTTGAGAAGTATTGTATGTAAATAGTCTTTTTTTTTTTTTTTTTGTGGTGCTGGGGATCAAACCCAGGGCCTTGTTGCATGCAGGGCAAGCACTCTACCAACTGAGCTATATCCCCAGCCCCTATAAGTAGTCTTTCAAGAAGAGATGTAGTAGTAGCCAGGCATGCGGGGATCAAGAGTTCAAAGCCAGCCTCATGAGAAGCAAGGTGCTAAGCAACTCAGTGAGACCTTGTCTCTAAATAAAATACAAAAAAAAAAAAGTGTTGGAGATGTGGTTCACTGGTCAAGTGCCCTTGAATTTAGTTCCTGGTGCTCTCACACACACCCACCTACCCCCACAAGCGCCAAAAAAAAAAAAAAGGAGATATAGTGACTTCTGAGCTAGAATTGTATTTAGATCAAAATGGTTTTTAAGTTTGGTTGGCTATGCATGCTACTTGGAAATCGAAGGCAAGAGAATCACAAGTTCAAGGACAGCCTGGGCAATTTAGAAAGACCTTGTTTTAAAACAAAAATAAAAAGGGCTAAGGCTGTATCTTAGTACTTGCCTCGCATGTCTGAGGCCCTGTGTTTATACTTCCCCATCCCCCCAAAATGCTTAAGTTTGTTCATTATGAGTATATAGAGAAGCATATAAAATAATACTTTAAGCAAAATCAACTCTTTATTACATTATAATTATTTTAAAATTTTACTTAAATTATTTAGTTAAGACTTAATATTTTGTATTATCCTTTTTAAACAGCTTATCACACCACATGGGCTTTTTATTCTATTTGGTAAGTTCATTTTTATTGTTTTTAATGTTACCTATAGATATGAATTGAGTACATTTGATTCATTTAATAATATTTCTTGATTATGCCAAGTAGTGTACTTGACACTGAGGGTAGAACAGTGAATAAGACTTAAGTAATTACAGTAAAGTTTTATAATAGGGGTGATAATGGTTGTAAATGGGTGCATAAAATAGAGAGACCTAACCTAGCCCAGGGATTCAGTAGAAATGATAGTTAAGCTGACTTAGGAAAAATGAGAATGGGTTAGCCAGGCAGAAGTGAGGAGAGTAAATGTCTTTTCAGATACTAGTAGTGGGTGAGATTTCCTAGTACATGGAAGAGAAGAAATCCTAATGAAGATTATAAGAAAGAAAGATATTGAAGCTGGGCAGATGCATAAGGACAAGATGATGAAGAGGTTTGTAGGCTATATGAAGGAGTTTGGTTCCCTATGAGGAATATGAAGGCATTAAATAGTTTTTATACAACAGAGTGTCTTAATGAGAGTCATGTTTTAAAGATCACCTCTATACTTTCTAAAAGTTTTCCCCTCTTGCTTAACTTAAAAAGAAAGTTAAGCATGCCTGTTTATGGAGGATTAAAGTATTTATAAATTGCTTCTTTTACTGTGCTCATTATATATAGCGTAAGTACACAAGCATAGAAATATGAGAGCAACAAAATGAATAATACTTACTATTTTAAGAAGTTTTCTTAATGACAAAATCTTTTTGCATTAAAGAATTAATATGAAAGGTAGCAGAATACAACAGTTACTAATATGGCATTATGTAAAAATGTGGATGTGTAACCGATGTGATTCTGCAATCTGTATACGGGGTAAAAATGGGAGTTCATAACCCACTTGAATCTAATGTATGAAATATGATATGTCAAGAGCTTTGTAATGTTTTGAACAACCAATAAAAAAAAAGAAAAAAAAATAATATGTAGTGAGGAATACAATTTAGTATGCTTTATTTTGGATAAGAAATATTTTGTTTTTCATTTTGGCTCATTATTCCAAGGATAAAACAAGCAATCTAAATAGAACTGTTTCATTGTTGATGTACTTTATTAGTTACTGTACTAGTTTTTCAATCTAATCCACTAATGTTTGTTGTACTTCATCTAGAAAGTTTTTTCTACTTTTTTGTGCTTTATCTTTTTCCTGTTAAATCAGTACATCTTGTGGGGCTGGGGTTGTAGCTTAGTGGTAGAGTGTGCGCTTTGCACGTGTGAGGCACTGGGTTCAATCCTCAGCACCATATAAAAATAAATAATAAAAAAAGGTAATGTGTCTGTCTATAACTAAAAAATATATATGTTAAAAAATCAGTACAGCTTGAATTAAAAGTTATTTTAAGTGTGTTAAAAAACTGGGTTGCTACTATGATATTCTTCATTTGTAAGATTTTTTTCTTAACAAGATAGAAAAGTTTGTTTCTAAATTCTTTGAGCATTGATAGGGTTTTTTTTTTTTAACAGCATTTTTGAGGTATAATTTACAACCATACAATTTACCTGCTTTCGTTGTTTTTTTTTAAGTAAATACATGGTTATGCAGCCATCATCACAGTCCAATTTAGAACTTTTCCTTCCTTACTTAGAAAACCTCATACAAAAGTAAGAGAGAAAGAAAATTGTATGCTCATTTGCAGTCACTGTAAAATTTTTTAATAATGCAAATTTAGGTAATTTTCAATAATAAAATCATGGAAGGTAATAATACATCTTCATATGACTCTTTAAAAGTAAACTTACTTGGACTGGGGTTGTAGCTCAGTGGTAGAGCACTTGCCTGCCATGTGTGAGGCACTGGGTTTGATTCTCAGCCCTGCATATAAATAAAATAAAGATCCGACAACAACTAAACAAAAATATTTAAAAAAAAAAAAAAAACAAAACTTGGGCTAGGGTTGTGGCTCAGAGGTAGAATGCTTGCCTACCATGCATGAGGCACTGGGTTCGTCCTCAAGCACTATTGTTATAACTAAAAATAAATATTTAAAAAAATTATTTTTAAAAAATCACCCATACCTTGAAGAACAAATTGTGTGTGTTTAGTTTTTTAAAGAATATCTACTTCAGCCACTTGTCATTGCCAAGAAGGGCAGCAAATTTGGAATGCTTTTCTCTGTTTTAAATTTGAAAAGTACAGTTCATTTCTAGGTTTTCAGTTGCCTTTAGGTGCTTGACAAGATAACCATCTGTCCTCTGTATCCCTTGTAGGCATTCTTTTATTGCATTGCAAAGTATGATAATGATACTCTTTTATGCATAAGCTGTAATATATTATAATACACTGGATGGAGAAAAATAAGAAAATGCTATTTATATCACAGAACTTTTTAATTTCATCTGTAGATTGAAATTCATAAAATGTAGTTTTTTTCATGTTGATTTATATAAATAGATTGGTATAAATAAGAGTTTGAGGCGAGGTGCTGTGTTACACACCTGTAATATCAGCTACTTAGGAGCTGGGGTGGGAGGATCACAAGTTCAAGACCAGCCTCATAACTTAGGCCCTAAGCTATTTAGCAAGACCCCATCTCAGAATAAAATAAACAAAAGCGTTGGATGTGTCACAGTGGTAGAGCACCCCTGGGTTCAATCCCCAGTGGGGGGGGGTGGGGAACGGGACTTTGAAACAGGGTGTGGCAGTGCATGCCTATAGTCTCAGCTACTCAGGAGGCTGAGGAGGAAGAATTGTTTGAGCCTCATGGGTTTCAGACCAGCTGGGGCAATGTAGCAAGACCCAGTCTCAAAAAAAATTAATTATTTTTTTCCCACATCCATATATGAATCATTTTTTCCATTCTCTGGGATGTGGAATCCACTTTGGGAAACTCCTTATTAAGAAAAAAAATGAGTGTAATGAGATGAATTAAGAGGCCATTGTGGTAGTTCTCATAGTCTCATGGGAAATGGTGATAGCTATGATGATAGTGAGGATTGTGAGAAGTGGACAAATGTAAGAGAGATTTAGGCCATAGAATCTGTGGGTGCTAGTGAGTAGTAATAGACTGGATGTAAGGGTTTAAGAAAAGGGAGATGTTAAAGGATATCAATTGTGGCTCAGTGGTAGAGTGCCCGCCTAGTATGCATGAGGCACTGGGTTTGATCCTCATTATCACATAAAAATAAAATAAAAATATAGTGTCCACCTAAAACTAAAAAATAAATATTAAAAAGAAAGATGACTCCCAGGTATCTGACTACAGTAATTATGTGCATGATGGTACCATTTATCCACAGCTATTCAGCACTGAAAATGGGGAGAGCTAAGTGGGGATGAACGTGTTTGGAACGCATTAAATTTGAAGTGTTTATGGGACATCCAAGTGAAAAACTTGAGTAGATAAATAGATCTGGGACTTGGGTGAATATGTATTAAAGAGTAAAATTAATTAAACACTAAATAGTGTTTTTGTTTTGCTTTGTTCTAATTAGGAGTATATGGTGATGTCCATAGAGTGAAGATCATGTTTAATAAGAAAGAAAATGCCTTGGTTCAGATGGCAGATGCAAGTCAAGCTCAGCTAGGTACTAATTATTAATAATAATGTGATGATGATGATGATGACGATGACCTACCTTTGAATTTTCCTTCAGTATAAACAAATGTAAAGCTATTAGAAATATAATATTATAAGAGTACTTGCTGGTGGTAATCTCTTCATTTTATTTGTACTTGCTTATACTTTAAGTTTTAAAGATATTTTGTCTGAATTACGAATTACTCTTTTTTTCTGAAGTTCATTTATCTATTTGATCTTTCATTAAGTTTAAACTAATAAACATGGCATTTTGTTTCATTTTATTTGGTTTTGTTTTCCTTCTAAATTAAGTTTTCTTTAACAGTTGAGTGGCTCAAAAGTTTAGGCAAACTTCCAAATGATGGTATAAGAAAGTGTCTTTCTAAGGCTATACTGTAACAAGGGCTATTAAAATATTGCTACTCAGGGGCTAGGGAATGTAGCTCAGGTAGAGCAGCTATTAGTTGCTCAGCATGCCCAAGGTCCTGGGTTCTATCCCCAGCACTACAAAAGGAAAAATAACAATAGTAAAAGAAAAACATCACTAGTCTTTATTTATTTGCTTTAGATAAAACTAATATATTCAGTAACCATTTCATTAATATTTACTATGTTCCAGGCATTCTGAAACTTCCTAGCACTCTGCTTGGAAAGTAGTCCCTTTTTTTTGTTTGTTTAAAAATGCTTTCATTATAATAAAATGAGGTTATTTAATACATTTCCCTAAAATATTTTGGATTTAAAACTCTTTTAACACTTAAACTGACTATAATTTTAAATGACTAAATGATAACTTAGGACATACTACTGAGAGTCTAACTTAATACTCAAACTTCCCTTTTCTCCCGTACACTAGCAATGAACCATTTAAGTGGCCAGAGACTTTATGGAAAAGTGCTTCGTGCTACATTGTCCAAACACCAGTCAGTTCAGCTTCCTCGAGAGGGACAAGAAGACCAAGGTCTGACTAAGGATTTCAGCAATAGCCCTTTGCATCGCTTTAAAAAGCCTGGCTCTAAGAATTTCCAGAATATCTTTCCACCATCAGCCACTCTGCATCTTTCCAACATTCCGTATGTACCTAATAAGTTACTTATTTAGGTGATGATCTATAGTATGTGATCTGGGAAAAGTAAAACAGGGAAACTATTCTAACTATATCTCCAGTCATGCTTTCCAAAAGTGATCCAATGTTTTGTAATTTTTATTTCAAATAGAAAATGAACAATTAGTTGCTGTTCGGTAATATAAGGGCATAAAAATAAATGCAAGTGGAAATATTCCATTGGAAATATTCCTGCCCTTTCCTTTGTAGAAGTAACAACTTTTAAGTAACTAATATAGCAAAAGCAACTGATGTATCTTATGTATCTAAGAATTTCCTAAAAATGAATTCTCTACTCTTTATCTACAAACTACAAAGTCATAAATATGTTATATATATAGATTACTTAAAAGCTATAAAAGTTATCTTCCTGTAACCACTTTAAGAAGATCTCTATTAATCAGTGTTTTATTTATGTCTTCTTCAGTTATCAGCTTCTAACTCAGGGATTAACTGAGCCCGTGTGTGTTTTTGTATGGTCTGTGGACAAAGAATGATTTTTATATTTTAAAATGGTTGGGAAAAAAAAAAGTGATATGATAAAATTCAGATTTCCCTTTCCTTAAAGTTTGGTGTAAGTCATAAAGTAAGTTTTGGCTGTACTCATCATGGAATATCTGTGGCTACCTTTGAGCTACAGTAGCAAAGCTGAGTAGCTGCAGTAGAGATTATATGGCCCACAAAGCCTGAGATTTTTACTATCTGGCCCTTTAAGAAAAACAGGCAACTCCTGTTCTAATTCTTGAAATCGTAGACTTACAGAAATGGCAATTTTTTATATTTTAAACTAATTATCAAATGTGATAACCTTTGAAAAGAGGAGTAAAAGCTGTGGGGAGTGTATTTGTATATGTGTGTATAAAAATTTGACCTATTTTTAAGTCCCAAGTTTTCAGTTCTGTGAATATTTCAACCAAATTGACACAGGAGCATTAAATTAGAAATCATAATCTCAAGCTTATATTTACAATAATTAACATTATAATATATTCTTATATAATTATCTACTGTGTACTACATTTAAGTTTTTTGTAGGTGGTATTGATAGGACAGAATAGGTTAAAGACTGAAGAGATAGGGTTAAAGTTTTGGGACATTATTAAGAATAAGAAGGTAGGCTAAGGGCTGGGAGTGTTCTTCAGTGGTACATTGCTTTCCTGCCATGTTCAAAGACCTAGGTTAGATCTCAAGCACCCCTGTTCCAGTGGGAGCTAAATAGGAAAGGAAAATAATTACTTTAAATAGTATTCAATGCCCACCTCTCTGCTAGTCTGATTAGGCTATGAGGAGAAACCTTTAATCTGATTTGGGCAGTGGATCAAATCTCATCCAGCTAGGAAATTGTGGAGGAGTCACTTAAGTTAAAAAAATCTACAGTGCTAGAGTACATGGATCTAAAAGTTCAATACCTCATCACTGTGGAATAGCTAAATGGACCTTTCATTGTTAGCTTTTAAAATACAACAGATTATGCAGAAGCTAGTCAACAGTTGCAGCCAGCATAGGACATGACCTTAAAAAAAGAAAGGATATTAACATATTTGAACCATCTTCCAAGTTTTGGGCAGTGCACTGGTGCTTTACATGTTGCCTCATTTCCTCTCCATAACAGCCCTTTTTGGCAGGGAAGCCACAACAAACTTTTGTTTAAAAAAATAATGTAAGATTTGTATAGCATTACATTTTCCATTTTGGTTGCTTTTAATTGTATAGTACAGTGTACATTCACATTAAATACATTCACATTGGGGCTGGGGTTGTGGCTCGGTGGTAGAGCACTTGCCTACCATTTGTGAAGCACTGGGTTTGATTCTCAGCACCACATATAAATAAATGAATAAAATAAAGGTCCATCAACAACTAAAAAAAATTGAAAAATACATTCACATTATTGTGCATATATAACTTTTAGCTGCAGAAATCTTCATCATCCCTAATTAAAACTATATTCACTAAGCAATAACTCCCATTTCTCCATAATCCTGGACCCTGGTAACTGCTGTTCTATATTCTGTCTTTGTGAATTTCTCTATAATAACCTTTGAAGCTGTTTGCAGTGGTGCACACGTGTAATCCCAGCAGCTTGGGAGGCTGAGGCATGAGGATTGTAAATTCAAAGGCAGCTTCAGCAACTTAACAAGGCCCTGAGAAAATTATCGAGACCTTGTCTCAATGGGAAAAAAAAAAAAAAAAACAAAAACAGGCTGGGGATGTGACTCAGTGGTTAAGTACCTCTCGGTTCAATCCCTGGTACCAAAAAAAGCATCTATAATAATAATCCTTGAAGTAAGGTCATCCCTTACTTCAAGGATTATTATGAAATAAATGAAAATAGTTTCATTTTGCTGACGGAACTAAGATTCAGGATAAGTAATTTTACTCAAAATTATATACCAAATGAGTGAGGAATAAAATTGGAGTTCATATCTGTCTCTGAAGAGCCAGTGTTTGCTCTAGACTATTATTGCTGGCAATCATGAGAAGATGAGGAGTCTACTTTTCATCTATTAACTCTCATGTGATAGATCACTGTATTATAATCTTGTCTACTATTGCATAACAGATCACAGAAGAATGTAACAGCTTGGCACAGAAGTAAATATTCAAATACTCATTATCTTATATTGTTACAGTGAATCAAGAATAGCAAGGTGACTTAGCTGGGTAGGTTTACTGAGATTCTTTCATAAGATTGCAGTCAAAATATTGGGGTGGAGGGGCATAGCTCATAACTATGGAGCTAATGTAGTTGACTTCAGTAGCAGAGCATGTGCTTAGCATGTGCCAAGGTCCTGGGTTTAATTTCCAGCACCAAAAGCAAAGTCTAGGCAAGGGTACAATTATTTGAAGGAGCATATCATTATTTCTGTTGTGTCCTAAAAATTACAGAGGTCATTTCTATTCAGTTATAAGAGGGAAATATTAGGGCTTGGGTTGGGGCTCAGTGGTTGAGTACTCATCTCCCATGTGTAAGGCCCTAGGTTTGATCCTTAGCACCACATAAAAATAAAATAAAGGTATCATGTCCATCTACAACTAAAAAAAAAAAAAATTAAAAAAAGAGAGAGAGAGAGGAATAACCTCCAGGGGTGTGAATATTAGAAGGCAAAAGTAATTGGGGGCCGTCTCAAAGCCTGGCTACCACAATTCTGTCAGAATTACCTTGAAAACAATTGAAGATGTAGAATCCTGGACTATAGCCGAAAGAACAGACCTAGAGAAGTAACTTTGGAAGTACTGGAATTAATTACTGGAGTCAAGTGGTGTGAAGAATAATCACTTTGATAGAATATATATAGAGAGAAAGAATTTTTTGACCTTTAAATGCCACAGTCTGGCTGGGCACAATTCAGGAGCCACTTGTCAAAAGAAACCAACTTTATTTTTAGAACACACACACCAAACCACACAGCTCCTCAGGAAAACCTTCAGAGCCCAACTGCCACCACCGGCTTCCCACAAGCCTCTCAACCTCCCACACTCCTCCTCCTCTTGAGGCTGATTGGCTGGGTCGTGTGGGCAGAGCCAAAAAAAAGTCCCCCAATGAGCAGCTCCGTGGTCTGAAAGGGCCGGGAAACAGCCCAATGAGCATCACCAAAGAGCAGCTAGAAGTTGCTGGGGCCGCTGTGAGCCAATCATCAGCTGGCAGCTGGAAGTTTGCTGGGGCCCCTTAGGCTGTGGCTCTCAACATTTATATATATGACATTTTTTTTTTTTTTTTTACAGCAAAGATTGAGACAAAATTCCATTGTTTAAGACATGTATGTGCCATCTTGAATATTTTCCTGGATACTTCCAAATCATGTCTGTTACCTGGCTCAGTAATTCTGCTTGAAATGTAAAATACTAGAGAGAATTGATGATTACCAGAGTTAATCTGTGCTTCATTTGAGAAGTGGAGCTGATGTCGTTGACATTCTGTAATGTTTTCACAGCCCTTCTGTTACAATGGATGATTTGAAGAACCTTTTCACGGAAGCTGGATGTTCAGTGAAGGCTTTTAAATTCTTTCAGTAAGTCCTTGCTTTTACAAAATATATTATTTAACACACCATGCAAATTTCTAAGAGTCTTCTGGTGGAAGAAGGTTTGGAAACAATTAATTCTGAATACTTTCTCTATTTCTTATGCCATTTTCAGGAAAGATCGTAAAATGGCGCTCATTCAGTTGGCATCTGTAGAAGAAGCAATCCAGGCCCTCATTGAGCTTCATAATCATGATCTTGGAGAAAATCACCACCTCAGAGTTTCTTTCTCAAAATCTACAATCTGACTTTTCTGTGAATTTTTCTCCTCTAAAACTGGACCATAATTTTACTAAAACCTACAGACATAGACTGAAGTAGCTCAAGACCAATTTTGCCTCTTTCAAAAAAAAAAAACCTCTTGAGTTTCATATTCAAGTATATTCAAAACAAGGGATGGTTCCCCCCCCCCATTTTTTCCCCTTCCAGTATATGATGGAAGGTTTGTTATTCCTTTGTACCATGGTTTGTATAAAAATAACCTTCAGGAAAAATATTTTTCAGTAATTTAATTCCCCGTGTTAAATTAGATTTCAAAAGAACATGCTTTCTTTTAGTTTGGGTCCAGATCAGCCTTATACAACATCTCTAAACTCCTTTTGAGCTTTGAGAAATTTAAACATATGGACTTTTAAAATTACTTGATGTAAGTAATTTAAATCACTTGCAACCAAGTTTTTAACTTTATGATTCAGAAATTTGACCCCTGTAGGAAATTATGTTCACTTATAAATTATGTCAAATATTTGCCATATATTGATGGTTATACATATAAACACATTGAATTATATTGGAAGCAGACTTATAAATGTGCATGTTTTCTTTCAATGATTTCTTTTTTTTTCTACTGTATGACACTCCTTTGAATATGCATATCTTACCTTTTTAAGACTATCTGGAAAAAATTAAGTGTTTCAGCTGTCCCCAGGGAAATTAAGAAGAATCCAACCAGGATCTATTAATAAGTCAGAATAATTAATAATTTTATTAGAAAAATCATGTTTTAAATTTCAAAATGATACTGATTTGTCAAGTAATATAATATGATCTTGAAAATTTTTTAAAAAATAATCCTACTTATAAACTACTTTTTTATAATTGTTTTCAGGAAAAAAAGTTTACAGTCTTAAGGAAATATTCAGGTCTATCATATGGTTTGACAGATTTTTTAGAAGTTATTTTTGGTAAGGTCTTCTTTTAGAAAAAATTAATCTCAAGGGTTTTTTGTACCACTATAATCTATCTAATACTTATTCAGAATTACTGTGTATTTACTTAATTTCTTCTTATGTGCCTTATTATGTGCTTAAGATACAATAGGTTAGAGTTTTATCTAAATATCTTGAAAACTATATTGTGGGCTTGGTGAGCATTTTGTTTTTGCTTTCTCTGGTTTGGTAAGGATTTTAAAGATTTTTTGTTGTTATTTTCATTACAATTTTAAGTGGTTTTCAATAAGTAATAGTTTTTATTCAAATCTTTGGTGCTTTGGTGCAGAGATGGGGTGGGGAAGGGTGAATGGTTTTGGGAATAACTCAGTACACATTTGTAGGCTTCTTTACATTGTGACTCGTAGCAGTTATTGCCAATTATCATACACCAATCTGGGGCTATAGAATGCAATCTCAGTTTCTGGATCTTTTCTAATCTTTATTGCCCATCAGAATTTGTCTCAGGATTACTTGTTCTTTTCAGTACTCAAGTGAGAACTTGCTTTTCTTTGTTAATGTAACTTCATTTCTGAATGCCCACATAGTTGGAGTATGAGAAAACAAGTTATTTCTCATACTTTCCTTCTCTTTCTGGTTGAATGTAAGAGTACATTTTAATGTTGCTTCAGTGATTGTATTATGTAAAATTGTTTCTTTTTAACAAGAAACTGCTTTATTATTCCTTCAATGCTTGATCAGATTTTTTTTAAAGCAGAATTATTCAGAGGGATTAATTTCGTCCACCCATTTACACTTTTCATAATTCTCAGAATGGTTCATCTTAACTTTTCAAAGAATATCTCAAATCATTTTGCTTTATTCCAGCCATTAATTTGAACATAGGTTGTTTTGGGGAAGCTGAAAGAGATTATAGGTTGTAACTCAACACTGAGTAACAGTTAGTTGGTAGAATATAAAGGTCATTAATTTGAGACCTTTGAAATGGCTGAATAGACAGGTATACTATCATTTATCTATTGGTTTTTTCCCCCACTTATGAAATACATTTTTACCTTAAACACCCAAGTAGGAGAGGAAGGGAAACAAATTGGAAAATCTCCCAAAATTTGTTTTTTTGTTTTTGTTTTTGTTTTTCCTTCTACACAAGCAACTTTCAGTGACATGTTAAATTGGATTACTTTGTTTACTTTGGGATGACTATGTAACTTATTAATTCATAATTCTCATAACATCCAGCATTAAGTGTAGCAAGTAACTGATAGCAGAAGGGAAATAATGGTGTTGAATGTAATTTTGAAGTGGGGGATGGCCTTTAAGTCTGAGAAAGAACATTTGAATCCTTTTCAGGGATTTATGTAGATATGTGTGTGTGTGTTGTTTGTGTGTATGTGTGTGTGTGTATAGATTCATGTATATACATACATACACTTCTAATGTATATACATATGCACATTACATACATTTTTATTTATTGAAAAAGAAAATTAACCAAATTAAGATTTGGAAAAGTGGGATATTATTTTAAAAGTGCATGTTTGAAGCCATCAGATTGTGTCTAAAATTAGCTATAGAGCACATGGATGTTGTCCATATTGAACTCTTTGCTATTAGAATTATAGAGATCTACGGTATTTGTGTTGGCATAGTTTTTGTAAAAAGACTCAAAAAAAAAATTGAGGATAGTGGAAAAACTAGATTTGTTTTTTTATTGTTTGTTTTGGCACACATTTTTTTTTTCAGTATCTTCTAGGCAGTGGTTTGTTTTCACTGTTGATCTATCATAATATCCTATTTTTAAGTTTATTCACTTTATTTTAAGGTATACTTATCACTTTTCAAGGTATATTGACTTACACAAAGTGTGTGTGTGTGTATATGCACACACACGCATATATCAGGACTTTAAAAAATAGCAGTACATATTTAACAATAGCAATTTATGCCAAAACATCTTACGTTGAGATTTAAATAAATTACATAGCAGTAAAATGTGTTTCATGTAATGTACAAATAGAAAAATGATGCATTATCTTAATCTGTAACTTATTGGAGAAGTATCAGGATTACCTAGTAGCTCCTACAGAGAATGCCATAAATTCTTCAAGACTGAATATTACGATCATTTATTTGTAGAAATGTTTGAACTCAGTTTTTAGAGCCATAATTTTTGCCTGCCTGATTCTTGATGGGAGTGAGGTCTTCGTTGTCTCCATCTGCTATTGTGGTCATCAGTTCTACTTCGTTTTAAGAATTAGCTCCTATGAATCTCTGTTCAGCTCCGAAACTTTGTTCAAAGTCTCCATGTCATCAGTGATGTTTATATTTGAGTGTATTGTCATGTAGATTCTCTTCTATTCCCATTAAATATTTTTGGACAAAAATGACAAATTCAAAAGCATATCTTTTCCTTCCCATTAAGTCCCTTAAAAACCCTAAGTTTGCCAAACGATCAGCCTGTTTCTTAGAAAACCTAATGTGTACTGCTATTTTTAAAACAACAACAACAAAAAGGACAGCATCACTATGTGTAAAGCATTTTTCTTAGTCTTTTCTTTGTCTTGATCTTTTGTTAATGTTAACTTTTTATCTGTTAATGAACCTGCCAGACCTAAAATACTCTTATTGTGCTAAAACATGGTTTAGATTGCACAAAACTTTAAAAGTATAACTTAGCTGTCTTTTAAAAGAGTTGTGTTGATACCTGTAAGACTATTTGCAGTCTTTTTTCAGAGCAAATTCTAACAATGGCTTAAAAAATAAAAATAACTAAATCTTAATTTGGGGGGTTTTATAAAGGGAAAAAAGCAAAACAGGACCAAAGTTTATGTGCCTTCTTCAGTAGTCTTAAATGACCTTTTCTTCTTGTTCGAGACTAAGATAGTATCAGTATTCTGGTTTTCAGGTAATATGTACTATAGAGTTTTAAAAGAATGTTGTTCCACGAACTAGTCATACAAGCAAATAATTGTAACTGTGTGAAGTCTCAGTTATACTTTTGTCTTATCACATAATCTTCATTATAGAGCATTATGCTGGTTCAAGAACAGAGCTGCTTTGTGGTAGTCACCTTAGTTTTTGCAACCTGAGGCATATGTTCCAGAGAACAGGGATATTTGTCTGGTCCAGTGACCTTGGTGATAATACTCATGATTGAAAGCTGCTTATGGCAAATTTAACTGAACACTCTCAGCAGATTATTTTTGTTGTTTTCAGTTCTTGGATCTATGTAGTAGTTGTAATAAATATTTAAATAGCTATTTTGGGGGTCATTAAAAAGAATCATACTCTGGCCTTTTTCCTTTACCATTCATTGTTACCCAGATCTTTTAAAAATTCATCCCACATCGAAAAATTACTAATTATAAAGATTGCTGACCAAGCAAAGTTTTGCATCAAAATGTCACCTCATTGCTCTGACCAAAGACTGAATGTTCTGGTTTTAACTCCTCTGTGAAACATTTTCCCCAAGCTCCTTTCTGAAAGACCCAGTTGAGAGCGGCCTTTACTTTGTATTTTCTATTGGTGAACAGACTACTTAGAGAAAATGGGAGTTCAAATGTGAACAGATGGATTAGGATGACAAGGGTTTGATGGGCATTTTCAGTACTGTATTTAAGAAAAACAAAACAAAATAGCACAGCTAGGAGCCTCTGACATAGTCTTGTGTTTTATGTGATCTGTTCATGAAAGTCCCTTTTTTCAGTTTATAAGAATAAAATGCTGTAAATATTTGTAACAACATTTTTTTTAACCAGGCCAAAAAAGAAAAAAAGGTTTTTGGGAACAAGTTAACATATAAAGTGGTTTTATATAAAAACATCAATTGTCTTGTATATTTTGATAAGCAGCAGTACCAGCTTTCATTTGTAATACAGTTTGTGGCATTGGAAGAAAAGGATTCTGTGATTGTTGAAGTGAATTATGTTATAAATGCAAAGAGAAGATAAAATATTAAAAACATATTTTCTAACTACGTAGTGCATGGTTAATTCAAGCTTCTGTACACTACAGTATATTCCATTTTCCTTCAGTTTGTATATTTGCTATAACTTGATATTTCCAATCTCTTTTCCTAACAAATATAGCATTGTAGCATGCCTTTTAATAAATGTCATGACATCTGTACTCTCTTAAAAATTTTCTGTGTTCTTGTCTGTACTCTGGGTTTCCCCTTGTCTTACCTGTAATTCTAATGATGTCATATTGTCTTTTTTTCTCCCATAGTCATCTATCTCAACTTGTCATAGTTTGAAACTAGTAAACACATATTCAGACAGTTTTAAAACTGAAAAAAATTAAAGACACTAAAATCTGCTCTTTTGGTTTTTTTTTTGGTGGTGCTGGGGATTGAACCCAGGGCCTTGTGCATGTAAGGTAAGCACTCTACCAACTGAGCTCTAGCCTCAGCCCCTAACTACTTCTCTTTTAGTTTAGGAACAATTCTCATTTTGAGGAGTAAGGTGCTTTTCTAATATATGTATTTCCCCACCTCACCCCACTTCTCTCTGCCTGTATGTACAGTGCCAAATTATAGTTAGAGCACTATTTCCAGTTTGGTTCAATTTTTGGCTTACATATAGGATTTATATACATACACTTAGATGTGAAGCATGATCTCAGATCTCAAATCAAGAATTGGTGTCCTTTTGAATTAAAGGTTATCAGTTAACAACTGACTATAAATTGCTTTTCCTTACACAACTATTTTACTTCTTAGTTCTTTAAGGAATTTTTGATTGCGAGAATCTAAACAGTTGTAATTTATTTTAATCTTTTACCCAAGGATCTCTTAGAAGTGGAAATTTACCGGAATAGAAAATTAGGTGATCACTATTGACTTTACTGGCTTACTTATAAATTCTGTTACCTCCATAAATATCACTAGAGAAATAAGTACAAACTTTAGCATAAGAGGCATTTTTATCAGGAAGATAAAATAACTATGTTCAAATGAGACTTGTCAACTAGATTTTGAGGTACTAATGTGCATAGCACAGAGCTTATAACCATCACTTAATAGTCATGCAAGTTTGAATATAAAGGACCTAAGAGAACACCTAGTTCAATTTTCTGTTAATTGCAGAATCTAAACTAGAACCCAGGTCTCCTTGGCTTTATCTAGTGCCCAGTGCCCTCTATTGTACCCAGTTGTTGGCAGTCCTATACTACCAAATGCTACTAATGTTATGATCTTGAAGATCTGTGCCTTAGGATGCTTGTGTATTCTGAAAACTTACCAAAACCAACTTAAAGATGTCAAATAAGTGGTGGGAGAGTTTCTGCTGAAGTGTAAAATGCTTACCTACTTATAAAATTTTTAACTGAAAATGTAACTATAAATTTAAGAAAACTGACTCTTTAAAAAATGTATTTCTCACAGCTCCAGATCCTACAAATCCAAAATCAAGGAGTGAGCATTTTTAATTTCTTCTAGTGCCTCTTTCCTTGGTTTGTAGATCTCTGCCTTCTCCAAGATCCATTTTATGCCTTTATGTGATTTTCCTGTGTGTCTCTGTCCTGATCTCTTGTAAGGACAATAGTCAGAATATATTAAGGCCCATCCAGATCTCATTTTAACTCCTTAAAGGCCAAGTCTCCAGTGTATTCAGATTTTGAGACACTGGGGATGAGACTTCAACATATGGATTGGGATGGGAAGGACACAAAACTGAATCAATACCCTGTTTAATAGAATATATTCAGGTCATCAGATACTGATTATGCCAA